CCCCCCATCCACAGGGGCCCATTACTCAGGAGGGAAGAAACTTGGACTCTTAAGTTTTGATGGAAGTGCTTCAGGTAACCCCTATTGGAGGAGTATTAAGGGATGAAAATGAGAATATTTGCTTGGTGTACAGCAGACTGATAGGTATAGCTGACTCTACAAAAGAAGTGATGGCTGCACTTACAGAAATCTGATTAATCACCAGACTAGGCATTCAGAATCCATCCATAGAGGGAGACTCAGCTAAAATTATAAAGTGGTTAGGAAGACAGGAGGCTGGGCCGTAGAGACAGTCATTTTCTGACAGAGGCAAGGGATCTACTGGCAGCTTCAAACGCAAACCTGTGCTGGATTGCAAGGGAACTCAATGCTCTTGCAGATGGGTTAGCAAAATTAGGTGCTCTTTTAGAAGCTCTGTACTGTGATATGATCCCTCCTGTGTAATTTTCAGGGGTCAGATCCCTGTTGTTTGTTTTCTTTGTACACCCACTTGTGTAGCCCTCTCTTTTCTTAATGAAATCAGCTAACTTTTCTCCAAAAAAAAAGAAGCCCCTGTTTTCTGCAAATTCCTCGAGGTTGAGTTTTCCTTCTTTCACCCATGCCACTAAATTCTAAATAGCCCTCGATAATAATAGCAAAGGCTGGATAATAATAAAACTTAGAATATTATGATATGATCACATAAACATAAGCTAATAAATGCACTGCCCCATGCATATAAATAGAAGACTAATAAATGCACCTCCCCATGCACCCACAACCACCCTACCCCACCTCGGACCCAACAACACACACAGACATATAAATAGAAGACTAATAAATGCAACTCCCACAGCATGTTCGTATGCATACAGACATGTTAACAAATCAATATTTCTATTTTCATGGACTGGGAAAATTCCACACACACAACACACAAACAAATCAATATGTCTAATTTCACGGACTAAATTCTTAATCCACATGCTTATTAGGTGCATTCAGGTCAGGTCAGTATCAGAGGTCAGAATCAGAATATGGCTACAAAATGCATATAACCATTACCTGTCCTTGGTCATGTCTTCACCAGCAGTGTTATCTAGTCCCACCTCATAGTTGTACGGCCCCACATTTCCACCTGCAAAGCGCCATAAGCCCACAATTATTCACATGACTTAAAATGCAATACAACCAAAGGAAATAACAATGCTACTTAAAATTACCAGAGCTGCCAAGCAAAGGATGCCTGATGGATTCATTAACTGGGAGCTCCCCACGATCTATGAATGCCCCTGTTGTTTGTTCAGCTATGGTTTCCTGAACCTCCACAGGCTTATTAGTTGCAACCTTACTTTTTGGAACACGCTTCTTACCCTTCTTCCCCTCCTTTGACTCTAAGATATCCCTATCTGTAGCTGATTTATTGGAGTCAGTAAAAAAGGACTGACCAGCCTCATTCTTTCCCAAAAAAAGCTGTTCTTCTTCAACCAATGCACCAGAATTAGACCTAAGGAGCAACCTCTCGTTGCTTTCCAAACTGCTAGATGATTCTTCCATACCCAGCTTTACCAACCGATCCTGCATCATATTGCCTGAATTAGAACAATGTGAGCCTTCTGCAAAAGAATTGCTTAGACCCACTTGTTTCTCTGTCAGGTGATTGAATGGAATATCTGAATAATTTGATCTAGAAAACAACCAAGGGGGTTCTCTTCTTTCATATGATGATGTAGGGGCACTATCACCCACTTCTAATGACTGGCCAGACTGAAAGCCCAACTTCTGATGAAGTAAATCCATCAATGCCCTCTTTGAAACTTCCTCACTTCCATCAGCTGATACCCATGAATTAGAATCATCAGGTGCCAGGTTAACTTCCAGTTCCCTCTTCTGCCGCTCTGCTCCAAGATGCACTTGTTGAACCCTAGCTTCTACCCAACTATTTGCAACCTGCTCATCACTTTCAGACCAGTGGCTTTCCATTGTATCCAAATGTGAAGAACGAAACTGGTTAGGAACTTGTGACTGATGAGACAGCACTCCTGAAGAAAACGACCCAACTTGAGCAGTTGAGTGCATTTGATTGTGCTGCTCATGAATATCAGGACCTTGAGCATGAACCAATGCATTTACAACATCCAAGTTCATCCCAGGAGTACCACCAGGCAAAGGCATTGACTGATCAAATGGCAATGAGCTGGGCTCATAAAGCCCTCTCTGCAATCTCTCTTGTACTGCAAGGTTCCGCTCTACATGCCCTACTTGTTCCCCATAGGAGGAAGGCCTCTGTTGTCGCTGGTAAAAATCGAAGGTACCAAATCCTGCAGGCTGGGATTGATGTGGATTAGTGCCACTCCGGACCAACTGACCAGTTTCATCAACTGACCAGACTCCACCAATACGTCTATCATCCTCCAGTCCTCGCTGCTGCCTTGATGCCATAGAGAATTGCCTTGCCTGAAGCTGCTCTTGTTGAAGAAGCTGCTGTTCCAAAGTAAGCATCTGCCCATGCTTCGCTCGTGATAGGATCTCCAGCAGATCATTGTGATGTTCCCTCTGTAGGCTCTGACCAAATTTTGCTTGGATAAGCTGCTCTAAAGATGGATCAGGATGTCTAGGAGGAAGAGATTGTTGCTGCAATTCATGTAGAAGGTGTTGCCTGAAAAGAACCTGATCAAGCATGCCATTAGCTCTAACTGGATCAAGATGTGACTGCACAAAGCCAGGATCCTGCATCTGGTGATGCAGCAACTGTTCAAGTAGCAACTGCCGAACTTGTGACTGCTGCTGCTGCAACTGCATTTGCTGCTGATGATGAAGTTGCTGCTGTTGCAACTGATGCTGCTGTTGGAGCTGAAACTGCCTGTGGTGTTGTAGCTGAAATTTCAGAAGATCTAAATCAGTCAGAGGTTGACTCATTGATTGCTGATGGTGTACAGGATTCCGGCTCTGAGAAAGAGCAGAACCCGGCAATTGCTCTAGAACTGACCCATTCAAACGCAAATGGTGATGAGGAGACAATAGATTTTGCTGCCGTAGCTGTTGATTTTGCAACTGCAGTGTCATTAAATGTCCGGCTGGATCATAGTGGTTGGGTTCTTTTTCCATTTGCACCAAGTGACGAGCCTCAAATGCATCTTGATGTAAATTGGAGTTAAGTGTATTCCTTCTATAACCATCAGACCATGTCTCTCCAACAAGAGGCCTATCAGCCATTGCACCAAATGAGTTCTGGTTGTGACTAGAAAAATCTGTTTCTCTTCCAACAATGGGGTTCACAGGTTGGCCCTGATCACCAATGCCTGAAGACATGTTTGATGATTGGGTACGCCTCAAATGAGCATCTTCAAGTTCAGACCAAAGCAGGCCAAAGGGATGCAACCTGTTGCCCATAGATTCTACCGATTCATTTGCAAGGTAAGGGTGGCTGGTGGGATTTGTTAATGGATCATTAAGGGTACCAGAATGTCTCAGAATTGGATTTCCACTGCTACTACCAGGTCTTCCGGAAAAGACAACTTCTACAGGAAACAGAAGAAAAAACCATGAGAAACATGAAACCAAAGGATATATAAAAGAACAATAAGAGCCACATAACTAACTAGATAACTAACCCTCATCTTGAGCAACAAAGTCATGAAAACTTTGACCCTCGGAATAATGGGACTCCATTGCATCTTCACGTTTAGATACTCTTGACTGAGTATGGTGACCAGGAAGCTTCTCAAATTCAGATGAAGCCCAGCCTTGGTTATCCATGAGAACTGAACCAGTAAAATCAGCAGCTAATGGCAAAGTAGCCACAATGCTGCCTCCAGTGACATCAGATGGATCTGGCTTGGTAATGGGAGCACTGGAAACTAACCCATCAGTAGATTTTAGGTGTGGCATTATTTCCCCAAGCTCTTGAAAAGGTGTTCCCTCTGGGGCATCTGACAGACAAACAGGTAAGTCAGTCCCAAAAAACCCCTGTTCAAACCATGAGATGATGTCAACACCAAGAAACGGTCCCTGGATCTCGCCTTGGGGATCACGGTAGTACAAACTTAATTCCTCAGGTGGTATACCCCTTTCTAAAAGATTTGCTTCACCATTGCTCTTTACATGCTGCTCGTTGCCACTTGATGCCTGCTGGAGAGATGACAAATCAAATAAAGAACTTGCATCATCAGGAAGCTTGGTACTGATATCAAAAGAAGCAGATGACTGAATGTCATCAAACTTCAGGTGCTTCAACACAGCAGAGTCTTCTGATTGCCAGTTTTCACCATTTTTCAACACAGCCTCATGGCAACCACCTCCAACCTCTTCAATCCTGCAGCAACTGTTACTCTTTGAAACTAATGAAAATGAATCATCAGATTCTATTCCAGCTGTTGTTCCCAATATATCGTGTCCACCGTTTTTAAGATAAATGTCTCTCCCTGCATGTACAAAGTACAAACATTTCTTTCAGATATTATGAATAGGACAACGAAGCTAGACACTGTCAACTATACAAAATCTATCAGGAGTGGGTTGAAGACCAAAAATAAAATTTAACTCACCATCCAATATATTCATCTGTGACTGTGAGGCACAATTATCAAATGCTCCAGTCTCATTACTTTGATAAGCATCATCAATCACAGCTTTTGAAAAAAAATCATTAGTCTCAGCATTGCTGATAGAAGGAAGTATTTCCTGTTTGCTGTCAGTTGATGACACAATTCCAGTGCCTGAACAAAGAAAAATTTATGAAGATTGAGGTAAATATGACCAACTAACAAGACAAAATCTTAGGTAATTTCAACCTGGATTACCTGTGACATTCTCATTTGATCTAACGATCTTCTCCTTAGAAGAATTATATAATACTCCACTGCCAGTAAGTTTCCCCTTCCATATATCACTAAGGACAGCCTGCTAGCACCAGGTGAGTCAACCAGGGAGAATAAAAGAATGAAGTCAACAATAAAGAATAACAGAACAGAATAAAACATCACTCCAGTAAATTCATGGCATAGATACAAAATATACCTCCTCTTCTGCATCAGGTGCAACAAAAGCCAATGGCTCAATAGAGTTCACTTGTGTTAATGGGGGTACTTCTTCCAGCTCATAGGGTATGGTGTCAAAAGATGAAACAAGTTTTTGCTTACGGTATATGTCAAGAAGTTTTCTTCTGGGATAGCAAAATGTATCAGCAAACAAGCCAGATTTTCCCTGTACATTTTCATTCTTATCTACAGGAGCACCAATAGGACCTGAAGAGGGAGGCCTGCTAATTGACAGACTTCCAATAACATTTGCCCTCCCTCTTCCAGGAGCAAATCCCACATTAGAACATTCCACTCGTCCTCGATCCAACCCAAATCCTGGTGCAGCACGATATACAGCTGATGCACCTGAATGAACTTCTAGCCGATGGCGTGGCCTCCATTTATCATGAGAATCAGTTTCACGCTCAGAAGATGCACGATTGTTACTTACAAATGACTGTTTGTCAGCATGACTATCTTCCTTCTCACCATCAATTCTTTTTTCACTGCGAGATTCTTTCTCCTTGTCTTCTGGACCCCATCTTGATGACCATTTGCTGTCTCGTCGTGTTTCATGCCCAGAATTACGACTATTTACATCATGCCACCGATCCAAGGCTGACAAGGCTCTGTTCTCTGCAGATTCTCTTGCTGAAACAGTGTCAACACGTCGATCTTCTTTCCTACGGTCTCTTCTACCAAGTAAGCCAGTTTCTCTCTCCTCTTCACGCCAACGACGACTACTCTCAATATCAGGAGTAGTCCTCCTCCAATCCTTCTTGTCCTGAGGTCCATCCAAACGCCAACCCTCTTTTTGAACAGGAACTATGGAGCTTCCAAAAGGCATAGAATTAGCTGCCCGGGAATCCTGTCACATAAAGGAACAAAAAAAATTAGTGACATAAACTGTCTAATAAATAGGCCTAACAAGCTCCAACATTGGAATCAGACCCGCATACATCAAAATCCAGAAATAAAAGAATCTAGTTAGCTTGTGGACAATAGATGGATGCAAAGAGACTTGGTAATTTCAACAATTTATCAGAGCTAGATCCTTGGTGCTTTTTTTTATTAATCTAGATCCTTGGTTATTAGAGAGCATATAATGATCCAATAGGTCTATCAGCAAATGAATCACCCAGTTTATTGGACAGGGGATGCAGAATGGAAGATAAACGCCTCGGGGTTCACTGGTTCTATTTTAGCTTTTCTGTTATCATCTTTTTGGAGTTTTTTCCAATATTGTGCCCCTGATCTACAATGTATTATTTTCACTATTCTGACAATATATTAATAGATTTCTTTTTTTAAAAGCATGCATTAATAGATCTCCCAATTACTGTCACACATGCCCCCAGAAAAATGAAAAGAATAGAGGAGTGCAGTTGGCTTCTTCCAACTGCCAATTCTCAGATTCCTATAGCATTCATCAGATGGTATTTTCATTCTGACAGATCCAAAATAACATATTAATCATTTGATATAATTTAGCAAATTTGGCTGACTTTTGAGATGTGAAGCTCAATCATGGATCTTTATTTTGGAAGCAAAGTAACACAAAAGGGGGAAGGAGAATAAAACTAACCATATTCTTTATGGATCTCAGAAAAAGAAAACCAAATTGAGTGGAAAGGCATGACAAAGAACAGGCAAGCAAAAATAATAGAAAAAAGAGGATGGACTGCTTTGTCCATTGACTGGACAGATCACCAGTTAAACCATCTGGGTCAACAGGTCAACCCATGGCGTCGTGACGAGAAAATTTTCAGAAGAAATAAAACATTATAAAARCCCAGCAACCCAGTAAACAGATTGAGTGGGTCAATAATTCAACCATCCAAGTCGATGAGTTGTTGGCCAAAGCAAAGATTTTTTATAAAATAGTGAGATATAGGTTGATCCAAACAAAAACTGTGAGCAGCTTTCTCACTTTATCTTCCCAAGCAAATACAAAATAATATATTTTTGTACATGAATACAAGTAAAGAAATTTGTACCCCYGATGGGCCGGAAGGTCCTGTCTTAGTCTCACTTGTTTTGACATAAAGCCATTGCGGAGACAAAGGTATACTGCTCTCTGACATTACCTGATCTGCAATATTTACCAAATAAACAACCACTGTAAGCATTAAACATTTCCATAAGAACAAAACCCGCAAAGAGAATAAGTTAGGTAAGACATGCCAGAACAGGAATAAGTATGCTGATGGAAGATGGTCACGTTTCATTTAAAGAGGGGGAAACTGTTTAAGATGTGACAGAAAAAAGATACAACCTTTGGATTCATCAAGAAACCCCATTAGCACCTTGTCTTCGTCATTTCCTCCAGACATATCATCATCTAACATGGCATAAAATATATGAGAACGGGAAAAACCTCCAAGTTAGTTAAGTTCAATTAAAGTACAGAAGTTAGCATTGAAAAATGCCACAAACCAGAGGAGGGGTGCAAATTGGGTACCCCGTTTGGAAATTTTCTACAGCATCAGGCAGCATTGAGCCTGGGCCCTTCCAAAATTTAACAAATGCTCAATCCAGGACCACCCAAGTTGCACCCCAAAATCGGAAACTGATCATAAAGATGGCAGAGAAATAAAAATCACAGAAATGCACATTGCTTATAGAGAGAGTGAACATGGAGGGAAAAATGATCCTGAGATTGTACAGCTTCAGTTACATAAGAAAATTGACAGAACAATTTCAAGTCTATTCAAACACTACTGGCACTGGCAACCTGTTTACCATTTCCTGCTAAGGACCAAAGTCATGCAACAAAACTTACATGCAAAATCCTAGGTGAAAGCAGAACTCGCAACAAAGTACTAGTAATAGAAAATGTGTTACACCATACATAATGAATTCAATGAGAACAGCAAATTTTTGCATCTACTTACTAACTATTTTCCTTATTCAAACAGAAAGTTTCCAACTTACCAAAAGTGAATGCCTTCAACTCCAGAAAGATCAGTTAACTAAAGACAGAGGGATCCAACATCAAAATTTAAATAAAAAAAAAAAAAATCCAGAGTTTGAAATCCATCAAACTTCAGACTTAGGGGCTATTTGATAACATCTGAAGTGGCTGAGGTGAATCACTAATTGTTTTTTTTTATGGGAAATAAGTGATTAAGGAGATTGTGAGCTCCTTAATTATTTTATCGCTTAATTATTTTATCGTTTAATTATTTTACCCACTATAAGATAATGCAAAAAGTCATTCAGGTCAACCACTTCAGTCATTATCAACATTCTCTCACTATAAATATGGAGAAAACTAATAAATTTAAATAAGAAATGGATTCTGAATGCCAACTCACTGACCAATTTCCTTATTATACAAAAAGAATGTCTTCAACTAAATATCAAAATGATGATGATGATAATAATAATAATAATAATAACGCCCAATCAAAACAAAGACAGAAGCCTCTCCATACAAAAGGAATTCCTGAGTTCGAAAGCAATCAAAAACCAGGCTCAGTATATAGTATGATGAAAATTTTCCCCAGGTTATCAGTATTGGATTGTAAAATCTAGCAACTAGACAAACTTTTTAACAACATCTAAGTCAGCTAAGCCTAAGTCCAATGTTGTCAATAGGCGGTGCCCATCAGATAATCATATTGAATGATAAATTATGTGTACTAAAAAGCCAAAACCAATTTACAAGCAAAAAAAAAAAGTGACGGAAAGCATAAATAGAAAAGTAAACCATAAACGTGACGAACCAACGAAGTTCCTTATCTGAAGGAATGACAGGGGGGACCTAGATGTTGTAACACTTTTCATCCTAAACCAACTGACATTCGACAAGAACTTAAATTTATTATTGGCGTTTAGGTATCTATAATAAAGTCACACTGAAAAGTTCTGATCCGATGTAATGTAACATCAGAAACGAAACACGAGGATCATATATCGTATTATAGCCGAAACCCTAGAACTCGATCCGTGTAGTCAACAAACAAAACAAAGCCAAAACTAGCAGCACACGACCTGATATCCTCCAATAAAACCCTATATTATGATCGATAATATGACAGATTCACAGCACAAGAAATCGAGACCACAGAAACAAATGGTAATAACAAGAGAACAAAGCAATCGCCTAAAAAGAAATCCACGGGCTCCAATACATCAGATCGAACAACAATTACTTAACAGTAACTTCGCAACAACTAAATTCATCAAATTGACGAATCATCGTAACCAAAAAATAATAATAATGGATGTCAAGCATCAGCGTTCAAGAACCCTAAGTACCTTTGGAGGTCCACGGCTCATCGGAAGTTTTCAATGAGAGAAGATCCTCTGATAGGTCAGCCTTGCCTTCAGCCATCGTTATACGAAACGTCGGATATCACAAACAGAAATTAGAGATAGAGAAAGAAGTCCAATTAAGGCTCCACGAAACCACTAGATAAAAAGGAAGGACGAATAAACAGGAACCGACGGCAAAAGAGACTTCAGCAGGTGTTCCGCATGGCGCTGAGAGAACTCGGTAAGATCAAAGACGAAGGTTTAAGGTTTTCAGGTTCTAGGGTTTCGAAACTTTGGTTACAGCGGAATTACAGAGAGAGAGAGAGAGAGAGAGAGAAAGAGAGAGAGATTTTGTTGAAAGCGAGCGAGGGAGAATAGAAGAGCTGAAGAGGGAAGGGTTTGGGTGGTCCGAACAGCGAAACGAAGTGTGTTTGGTTTTTCCCTGGGAGCTTAAAAATTAAATAGATAACATCAAACTTAATTCAATCATCCAATGGTAAACCAGTAAGGTAAGGATACGTTTTTCGTCATTCCTGTGTGGCCCAATGAATTATGAAGCCCAAAAACAAATAGAATACATGTTTTTCAGTTTTGCATTCCTGGGTTAAATATTTTGGCTTAAAACAAAGAAACGGAGTTTTATGTCTTCTGAGATGGCCTCCGGACTCCGGAGTCCGGTCTGGGAATGGGATACGGGCTAATAGAAGGTTCTGGGTCCTTAATGTGCCACGTGTCTCATGATTAAAGAATCTGGCCCACTTAAAACAGATCAGCACAATCAGATTCAATTATCTGTCTTCGCTTCTTTTTTTTTTTTTTGATACACTAATTCTCTGCCTTCGCTTTGTGAGTTGGGACTTGGGAGAAGCAATCAATCGCCACCATCCAATTGAAATGCCTTTTTTGAGTAAAAGGCTTAAACCTTACTAAGACCTCCTCTCTCTTTTCTAAATGACCAAGACCTCCTCATTGATATGACATCATTAGATATATGCCTGCCTCCCTTCTGTTAGCAATCTGTTAATATCCCGTTATATAAACTAATAAAATTTATCAAAAATTTTCAAGAAACCCAATATTGTCCCTTTTTTGACAACTGCAAGACATAATCCCTATAAACAATTTAGGAGGTTGAAGACATAATCCCATGAATCTCTTCTACCAAACTACAATACGGAATCCATGGTGTGATTTTCACAAACAACAACACTTACATCCAACAATCTTAGTAGCATTGTTCGCACAAACAAGAAAACTGCAGATAGGTTGAAGAACAGTTCATGATGGAAATTCTTTGAACTGCATGATGGAATCTTGTAGCAAGACACAAGAGTGTCGACGCTAACCAAAGAACTGCAAAATCAGTCTACGATCATAAGGGTTGTTGAGTCTTTCACGTACCCTATGTTCCTTTGACTTTTTTTTCCTCGATGTTATAGTGCGGTTTTCATAGGATTCAGAAGTAGTTGTTACAAATATACTAGCTAGCTAGGATTTTCTATTTAGCGAAAGAATTTCTAGGAATTTTCTTCTAGGTGGATGTGTAGTTATTGTAAAATCTAGAGATAGTTCAATCACATGGTATATGGTTCTCAATCTGCAAGTTCCTTGAATTGCCATGATTGATTCATTTAACATAAACGATGCGTTTATGAGTGTTAGCCATTCTCCATATCTTCTCTTACGATCCCTATACGATATACTCTATTGGAATAAGAAACCTCGTCATGATTTTTAGCTTAAAAAAAAAAAAGAAAAAAGTGGTTATTCTGATACTCTGCTCCTATGTTTAGCTTGATAACTAGATGGAACATCTAAGACTTTGGTTTGCTACCATTTCAAAATTAAAATCATTGGCTGAAAACGTGAGATTTATTACTACTTCATTACAAGTGTGGGGAACAAAATACATTCAACATGTTTTTGGATGATTCTATCCAATTATCCAAAAAACCTCACTCTTCATGAACCCAAAAAAAAAAAAACTGTAATCATGCTTCCTATTTCTGCCTTTTGGTCCTCCAAAACATCGATGCCCTTTAATCTGCCCCAAATTTAATGTTCATTTCATGTTGAGGTCCCTTTAATCAATGTCTTCCAACAGGATGTAACACTGATCATGAGAACTATAGTTTATGGTTTTCTTTGAAAATTTGAAGCATAGCGAGGGATAAAAATGCCTTTTCATCAATTATGTTGAATATGGTCACATCGATGGGAGGTTTAATCCTATCAAAAAATTAGAGGGTAGGTGTTAGAATTTATGAGAAACCTCAGGGGAGGAGGAGGAGGAGGAGGAGGTAAGAGAAGTAAAGCATTGATTGCAAGGTTACGATGACCGCATACTAATGTTAATTTTTTATTTGTTTTGTGGTCTTGATTGCATTCAGCTACGCACAGACCGCGCCTTGCACCAACCTTGTACCCCTTTCAGCTATGCATTGAGAACGTCTAGGAAGATGTTTCTATTGTAGAGCTCCGATGTGCACATGATGTTTGTAGCCGTCTTGCTCTGCTGGTTACTATGAATTAATATCGGTTTGGATAATAAAAAACAAAGAAATGAGAGAAAAAAAAATGTTAATGCAAATCATTGGCCTATTTACATTGACCTTTTTTTGCTAAAATATTGCACTAATGGGGTTAGTGAAAATTTTGATTTTCTTAATAAATTATAAAGACCCTCGCTCATACCATATGGGGTTAATCATAGGGCTGAAAGTCAGGCTGGATTAGGTCAGCTTGGCCTCAACCCTAGCTTAACCCCAAGTTCTAAACACCCAACCCTAACCCTAACCCAATTCAACTCAGCCCGAAATCAACTTTGTGTTGTGTTAGGCTCGGGTTGGGCCCAACCTAATCTTCTTCCCATCCCTTCAATTTTCATAGAACTTCGCGATCTCAAGTCTTAATTCAATTTCACTACATATATTAATCCTATCTTGTATTAGTATTTGCTTGTTGATGTTTTTATTAGTTCTTTTATTGCAAAATTCAGAAAAAAATAAGTGATTGAAATTACTATAGTTTTATTATGAGTTATTGTTTGTGATAGATCTTTTATGGGCGGCAAACAGTATAGAGGAAATGAATAATAACATATTCGAAAAACATAAAATATGTTATTAAGGTTTTAGCCTTTTCAATTATGATTAAGTGAAGTGATTATTTTAAGAGAATGATTTGGTAATAATGTGTTGGCAGCTATACAACAATCATGCATTTAAACAAATTATTGTATGAACAATATATTATATTTATATATGACATGTACTGTAGAGTTAGGTTCAAGTTGGGTCAGGTTGCCTAAGGGGTCAACCCTACCCCAACCCGAAGCAAAGTCGGGTTCATGAATTTCAACCCTAAACCCAATTCAAGCATCAACCTGGGTTATTGGGTTAAAGCCAACCTGGCCGAAGTTGCAACCACCTTGACAATTACCCCCGAACTTTCATTTGTAAAAAAAGACCATAACTTTCACTTTGTGACAAGTACCCCTTTGTTATAGCTATATTATCTTAAAAAAAATAGTTTTTCATTCAATTGTTTAAAAAAAATTAAATTTCCAAACTACCCTTTTCTTATTTATTTGAAAGATTTATGATTGAGTTAGTTTTCTGAAAATAATATTGAAGTCCTTTTGGTTGCTCCAATAGACCGTGCAGATTTTTGGTTGGATTCAATATTCAAATGGAATGGCAGAGGTTTATTTGTTAAAGATGTAAAATTAAGTAGGGTTATACATGGACCAAATTTAGATTGGATTCAATTGCATTCACATCTAATTACAAAACCCCTAGGCCTGCATCTCCATCAATTTATTATGTCAGATTTCAAAACGAATTTGGATTTAATCCCAACCATCTTATTGCGTTTAAAATGCCCACAAAATAAAAAATAAAAATAAAAAGCTAATTATTTACATAATATTAAAGTTGTCAATTATAAACTTTATATAACTTTTCATAATATCTATATATACCCAAGGGTAAAAGACTTAAACATAATGGGAGTTTTTTTATTAAGACTAAAACATACATTGTGTTTTCTCATAGGGCTTAAACACACCTTCCAATGTCATGATAGGTGAAATTAATTAAAAGGACAATTATGCCCTTTGAAGAAACATGTTTTTCTTTTGCACCTTCTCAAAACACATTTGTCACAAGTTTACGGTTGCATAAATAATGAGAATATCATTATTCATGTAAAATCTGGTATTTTTTTTCAAAATTTATCTCATATTGTTTGATTATGGTACAAATCAAGTAAAATAAAGCATAAAGTATAATATAATAAAACCCAGGTGATATTAAACCAGAATTTGTATTATTTTTATTTGCATTACAATATATTCATACTAGTGCACATAAAAGGGATGTTCTACAACATGAATTCTTTTTATGATAATAATAATGCATCCAAAATTTTTTATATACTTTATGTATTTTTTTTATTTTCGTTTTTATTTTTTTCTTTCTATTATTAATCGGATGCATATGCAAAATCCGAAAGTGATTATATAAACACCTCTTTCAAATATGTGATAATCGTATCGAGTTGTAAAGTTTAAAATATGATTGACATACCTACCTACTTGGCTATATTATTATTATTTTTGTAATGTTTTATCTTTTTGGTGTATCTTTTTTTTTGGGTTCATTTATCAAAAAACTATAAGATTTAAACAAAGATAATTAAAAGAGGTGAAAATTAACAATTCAATTGTAAATTTAAACCTCGTAATTAAATATATATTAAATTAAAAAAATTAGTACTTTAGTCAAAAGAAAGTTCCACAATCTCATTCATATTTTTAATAGTAGTGTAGATATAGAATTATAGACACGTTCAATTTTTTTTCTATAATTTTTTGTATTATTTTGTGTAAAAATAATTTTGATATGTCACACTTACTTTTTGTTTAATATTATATATATATATATATATGATATTATACATGCACCCGAATGTTTTTTTTTGTTTGCAAAATTTATGTGTTTTTTCATTTTTGTATTTTTATTATTTATTTGCGACATTAAAGGTTAATACATTTGACCCAAAAGTGGAACTATTGTTCTTGCCAAACAATTAATTGTTTCATTTTTTGTCAGTCCTAAATTATGTATTTCATTTTTCATTATCAATAGAAATAATTATTATTTATTACACTTATTTTTTTAATTTGATTAATAAAAAATATCACAAGTGTGTCTATTTTTTTCTTCATTTTTGTAAATTTTTATATATATTTCCGTTTTAAAAATTTTATTGTCTAACTATAATTTAATAGGTTGATCATTTTGATTTAGATGGTTAAATTGCTTAGCCACCACTTGGATAAAGAATGATTTTGTTTTTTAGTCAAATTTAAAATATATGGATTTATATTGTTACAAATGTTGACATAGATCTAATTAGTAGCATTTATCAGTTAAAAATAACTGAAGTATAGTATTTAATAATACAAATTGGGAGTTAATACTTTTAAGTATAAGACTTAATGAGAAGGGATTAAATTAGGTGAAGTAATAATTGGAATTATATTTTCAACATTTATAGTTAGAGATTGACTAAATACACAAATATGGGCGTTTTGGTAGTCATAAAAGTTCGCATTAAAACTGTAATAAAATGACTTTTATACCACCTCTCTCAAAAAAAAAAAAAAGTGGGTAATTTTAGTCCAAAAAACTTTCACTTTACACCCGCACTTTTATATATAATATAGATATAGATATAGATGTTGTATGCAGCTTTAGTGTCTAGTTCTCCATTTTGTGGCTACTGGCTTCTATTCTATCATGTTTGTTTTGTTTGATGGCCTCCTTGCTTGTCTCACTGAAAATAAAAGCTATAAATATTGTGATAAACAAGGAATAGATAGTGAAAGTGGAGGAAATAAAAGGAGAATGAGAGAATTAATGGTGGTGTGGTGAATCAATTATTTGTGTTGGATCATTCACCCAATCAATCACTTGATATAGTATGTATTATAAAAAATCATTTATACTTCCATCCAATTACAATAAATTTGGTTTTTTATTGAAAATAATTAAAATATCCGACCACTCAACATACTCAATGAATATACAATGGGGGGGGGGGATTCTAGGCACCTTCACTACAGGGCTAATGTTAGTAATGCACTAATATGATTATTAGTGATAGTGTTAATAATGTAATAATAAATTTACCTAAAAATTAATGTAATAATAAATGGTTGTTCGACAATGTTGGTTTTATTTTTGAGAATAAAAACAACTTCTACATTAGCTTAATACCTGCCTCCCCCACCACAAGTAGGGGTGGCAACGAGCCGATCTTTTTACAAGCTGCTTGAGCTTGGTTCGGCTTGATTTCAATCGAGCTCGAGCCTACTAGAGCTCGGCTCACAAGACGACTTGAATATATATATATATATAATAAAATTATAGAAATAATATATAATAAAACTATTATAATTCTTAATTTTTTAAATATCAAATAAATTTTTTTTTATATATAATTTTTTATTTTTATAAATTTTTTTTCTCAAAATCGAGCTCGAGTCGAGCTGAGCTCGAGCTTATGAATTTTTTACAAGGTTCTGGTTCGAACCGAGCTCTAGCTCGAGCTCAAGGTTCTGGTTCGAACCGAGTCTTGTAGAACAGTCTCGAGCTAAGCTTGAGCCTTGTACTATTCAGCTTGGCTCGGATCAAATCCACCCCTAACCCCAAGCAAGGCCTTTGCCATAAGACTTCGGCTGGACATCAAGTTCTTTCACGGTGACAATCAAATCTCCAACCATTTTGGGTTAAATTCAGGTTTGAAAACGTTTAGAAAAAAAAAGAAGAAATTAAAATGGAAATGCATCTAATTGTTTTGTACAAAAAGCAACTTGAATTCATCAATGACAGTCAATGAACATAATTCCATTTTCCTCATTTTTTTTATTGGAAAATAAACACAATTCTTAATAACACAGAATACTGATAAAAAATCTTAATAAGATAAAAAAACATCTAAAATATTCCAGTCAAATGCCATTTTAAAATTCAAATGTCCAAATTATGACGTCCGAAACGATGAAGGTTTAACTGAACACGTTAGTTGTTCAGAGGACTATGAAACCAATGATAAGATTCCACACCAGTATTTAAATACATAAGGGCCATGAAATTTCGCCATAACTTCCACAGTTAAAGCGTTCGGCTAATCCAAATTCATCTAAAACATGGAAACATGGGGCGGAAAAAAACTTACGGTATCATTTCATCAATTATATTGCCATATCCTTGATATAAAAGGTAGGCAAATGAAACTTTGATTATATGTGACAATCATTGAGAGTATGTACGGTTGTTATGGTACGACAAGCTACTCCAGATCTCATATCGACAAACTGCTCCCCACAATGGCCACAACCATACCCACAATACACTACCGCATTGTATTGGGACAAGTGAGATATTTGGATGTAGGAAGGGCAGGTCGCCAGGTCTTAGAATCCCATGTGAACTTCGGTAAATACGAGTTGATTAAGTATTAATTTTAGGTTGATTGGGTATTAATTTTTAGGTACCCTACCACTTTCCATGGGGGTGCAAGGTTAGATAGGGCTCAGGTTAACCGTAATACAACCTGACTTTTCAAATTGTTTTGGAGACAGTTTGAGAGAACTTCAGCATTAATTGAACTGCTCCCACGAAACTATAAAAAATATCTTCATTGAAAAGCCAATTTCTCAACTCATGTAACCCTATTTGGGCTTTCATGTTTGTTACAAAACATGGATTCACAGCATTCCATATGAGACCTACAATGCTAGAAGATAATGCACGAAAGCCCTCCCAGACGGGCAATAATGCAAAAACTATACAACATTTGACTGTCAAATGGCAGAAGTGCAGTGACCCAATCAACCCATCAAATCAAATTCCATGCTAGTTCGGAGAATTGAATGATGACATTTATACAAATTTTAATTCGTAATCTTTAATTCTTTAAACTAAATTTATGAACTTCAAATTTAATATTTTATTTTCATTTTCCAACATTTCACAAGGGCTAAGTACATCCTGACATGTCATAATTCAGATGAACTATTGAACTGTCTATATCTTAATGTAATTGCAGAGTTTTTGATAATAATATATTTGCAGGATTCATGAATTAATATGCAAAAAGTGCATTACTAAAATGGATTAGCTGAGTGCCCGTTTGGGAGGCCTTTCCCAGGCTCCACACAAAAAGACATGAAATTGTATATTGTGAAAATCACGGAAAGTAAAAAAAAATATTAAGTGAAAAAAAAATAAAAATGGCTTCTCCAAAAGTGACTTTCCAATGGAAACCCTTCGTGTAGTCGTAGCCCCATTAAGGAAAAAAATTGGCTTCAGTCAAGACGCCCACAAACGCAAAGATACAGCTTTGTTTTCCCAAGGCCATGTTTGAAAATGCATATGTTAAAATCAACTGTTTATTGAATAAATACCTAAAAAGAAGTGCTTATTCCAATAAACACTTATTGTAGTCTTTTTCTCCAATAAACACTTAAATAAACATTTTATTACTGTAACTATTTTGTCCATTTTCTTTCAAATTTTCAAAATACACCCTTATTAAAGTATTTTTATTAAACTACTTTTATGAAAACACTTCCACGAGAGCACTTGAAAATAATTTTATGAAAAGTACATTTACATGCATTTACATAAAAGCACTTCTAAAAAAGTATTTTTATAAAAATACTTTCATAAAATCATTTTTACAAATGTACTTTCATAAAACATTTTTATTAAACTACTTTTACAAAAACACTTTTATAAAATTCAATTAGGGATAATTTTATAAGTGGTATTTTAAAATTCAACTAGAGATAATTTTGAAAGAAAAAAAATTAAGGGCTTATTATATAAGCACTTAAAAAAATTGGCAATTTGGGCTTAAAAAATAAGCCCTTATTTTTAAAATTAACAATTATTTAGGGCAATGTCTCAAACACCGATAAGTGCTTAACAGTGTGATCTCAAATAAGCACTTATTTTTAAGTACTCCCGAACATTCTAAGTAATAGAAGATTAGAATCCCCCATCAATGCCAGGGAAAGAGACATATGACGTACTAATAAGGTTCAGAATGCCAAAGGGACACCTTGAAAACCCTTTCGACTGTCCGCAATAATCGGATAGTTTATCGCAAAGCAGGGGGAACAATAAGAGAAAAAAGTCCAAGCGATATGAGGTATGAACAGTGTCATAAAATTGCGTATCTGAAATACCAATGAAAATCTAAAACGAGTAGCAAAATCCCCATCTAACTTCATATATAATACCCGGTCCTAGGTCATTCTTTGGGCAGCTTCCTTGGCAAGAAGCTTCTCCTTTGCCTTTGTTCTGGCCTGGGATTTGGAACCCATGATACCACCTCCCCACTTCTTCCGATATTCATCATACTTGTCGTTGAAGTTGGCCTGAAAAGCAATTAAAGTCACCAAATGAAAAAAAAAAAACTATTTTCAGGATTTGGACAGAGCATCAAATATTGGGAACGGTACACACCTTGATAGCCTCTAAAATTTTGCTGAACTCCAACTTATCTTCGTTCTTGACTGTCGTTAAGCACAGTGCTGCTGCAGTTTTCTTGTGGACAATCTACCAGAAAAATTTGTATAAATATTAAGTCCTTAAGTTTGCTAAGATTAGAAAACATCCAATATGATAAAAAAAATACAATTACCGCTCCCAGGCGTGATTTTCCCTTCACAATGCAGTAGGGAATCTCCATTTTCCTGCACAAGGCTGGAAGCCAGACAACTAGCTCTATTGGATCCACATCATGTGCAATTACAACCAATTGTGCCTTGTTCTGTAAAAAAGAATGAATCAGGATTTGCATTAAAAATTAGACTATTACTCAAATGTGAAAACAGTACTAAGATGCATAACACACTCAAACAGACCTGCTCAATAAGGTAGGTGACGTGGTTGAGTCCATACTTCACAACAATGGGCTTCTTAACCTCAACAGTCATTCCTTCAGCTTCAGCCTGAGCCCTCTTAAGAAGGCGCTCCTTTTTTGCAGCTTTATCCTCGGGCCTGTACTTCAGAAGCATCTTGAAGAGACTTGTTGCTGCATGTGTGTTAAAGAAAGGTAATTTCAGTGAGCTTCTGGTTATCAACATACCAAAACACCATTTAGAACAGAAAAAACAAATTAAAGAAAAAGAAAACACGAAAATAATATCTACTGTGTGCCAATATGGATATGACCCATAAAGGGTCCAAATAATCCTGCATCCATCATCTATCCATGGGGGGAACCCTAGTGGCTGGAAGAAGGAGCATCGAGTGGAATTAATTGTTGGAGCATCAGATCTGAAAAGCTCCAAATTTCCGAGGAATATCTGACAACACATAAAGCATTTTAATAGATTAATTATTTTCTTTCTGAGTTAGCAAAACTTGTAACGCTGAGAGGTATGGGGCTCACTTGGAATTGGGATATTCAACATAGCCAATCTCAGTAGAGATTTAGATTGGTCATGTAGCCCCTTGATAAGAAAGTCATAAATATCATATATTGGTAGACACTTGCAGGCACAAGTGAATACAAATTGATAGACTAAATATAGATAGCATCTAACGTGAACCTAGTTAAGGTTGTAAATGCTTTATATCTTGTTTATCAGCAAGAGTGTGGATGTCATAAGTTATAACAATCACCGCCTATGTTTTACATAAATACCCAAAAACTACAATCATATATATATATATATATATATATATATATACACTTTTCTACCACATAGGTACTTAACAGTGTCCACAACTTGTTGCTAGAAGCATATGATGATCAAATCAAGTTTGACTTAAAAAGTAAATTAAACCACATATAATGGCCCTCTAGATATCTTAAATAATCTTATAAGGGTAATAAAACAGTCGCCCTTTGAAAAAATTAAAAGAAACAAAAGAATGACAACAATGAGAGCAGTGATTTAAAAGGCGTGCCTAGGCGCACAGGCGAGGTGCATTTTAGGGTAGGCGCCTCACCCAGGGCCTAGGCACACGCCTGGTGCGCCTTAGCCCAGGCGTGCACCTTTTGAAAATTTGCTGCTTTTTTTTTTTTTTTTTTGAGTCTGGCCGCTGGGTTGGGGGCTCCGCCACCCCCATGCCACGCCCCTCGAGCCAGCCCAAACAAGGCCATGTTAGGGTCTTAAATTCTTAGTTTTCACACAAAAATAATAATTTTATAGTTTTAATTTCTTTTAAGAAGATATTTTATTAGGATGAATGAATGGACAACATTACCGAACAGGGAATTCTTGAAGCTCCGGTTCGCTCACCGAAGCTTCGAGAATCCCCTATTTGGTAATGTTGTTCATTCATTCATCCTAATAAAATATCTTCTTAAAAGCAATTAAAACTATAAACCCTAACATGGCCTTGTTTGGGCTTGCCTCGAGGGGTGTGGCACAAAGGCGGCTCGTAGAATTAGGAATGTAATATGTCACATTAGCTACTTGATGCAATTGAGAAAAAAAAGAGATTGTGGGCTTTATATGCTTGATTTCATTTTTAAATTCTCATTTGAATATGCTTTACATATTATATTCATGTATTTTAAAACTTAAGTTTATATTTTTATTAATATTATGTTTTATAAATTTTTTGATTTTTTTTTTAAATTTTGCGCCTTGCCTCAAAAAGGCACACACCTCGCCTTGCGCCTTGTGCCTCAGGCGCAAAATGGCCCTTGCGCCTTTTTTGCACCTTGCGCTTTTAAAACACTGAATGAGAGTTGTATCAATTGAATTGATATTTATTGCATTAATCTCATAAATTATAAGATTCATCAATCAAACTATAAGGTGTTTACAATAAAAGGATTCAGACATAAGATTGAAACTAAACCCCTTAAGATTAATAATTTTGAATTGTGAATTTTATCGTAAATAACTACAATGTCAGTGGAAACCCATAGCAGTGCTGTTATGCCTGCCCCGGACTTAAAGTTCTGTTTTGGTCACTGAATCATGGGTCATACAGTCTGATCTATCCTGTTTGACTGCTCAAATAAAATCATGAATTAAAAAAAAAAGAAAAATAATAAATGGTTATAGACTATTTTCAATGTTATTTTCCATAAAAATAAACTTAAAGCAATACATCTAGTAGATTATAACACCTACTAACAGAAGTGTTGGGTAGACTTTGACAAAGTCAAGAACACTAAGAGTTGAGCAATATATCTAGTAGATTATAACACCTACTAACAGAAGTGTTGGGTAGACTTTGACAAAGTAGATTATAACACCTACTAACAGAAGTGTTGGGTAGACTTTGACAAAGTCAAGAATACTAAGAGTTGAGCATCAGAAGAACTATTTTGGCCATTAATTTCTGGTTTGACCTCTCCAACTTGAGTCTGACAACAGTGACCTCTAATATCCTACTTTCCACATGGGTTGGATTTTGTGCATGCTCATTCCATTTTTAAGCCCCTGTTTTACCTTTCTTTTAATCATACAAAGCAAGGGGACAGACATAAAAAATAAAATGTTTGTAATACCAGTACAGTCAGGAAAAAAACATAAGTTCACTAGCTTTTCTTACTTTTTTTAACCACTTCTTTAGGCTCTAATCTATAAATCTGGAGCAGCCAACACACAAGAAATGGAACAAGAACACCAGCACATAGCTTTTACAGCAAGCTATATCCACATCAGTTTCTTGCACGCTTATAAGTGGGTTCTCATTACATCCAAAACAATGAATCAGATCTGGAACCTCTTAATCCCTAGATTTAAGCATCCAGGGCAATGTGCAGTTGGGGTAGTAAATACATGTCAATCTTCTACTGCTTGGCCAACAAGGTCATTGCTTAAAAGTTCAATTGCTGTCACACTATAAAATAGTAACTTGCTCCACCACTTCATTTCAAGAACAAATGATCAAACAATCTTATACCTTACAAGGTCACTATCAAAATATGGAAAAAAATCAGATCTGATACACTTCAGAAAAACCATATTATCATGTTTGGCAATTTTCCCTGTGGATATATGTTTTACATCATAAGGCATTTGCACGGCCAACAAAAATCAAATACAAGCTCCCATAAATGGATCTCAACTAGCAGATTAAAGAATGCTACTAGTAGACTCACACTCTCTAAGTGGACTCCAACCATGAAACTGACCGAGGAAAATCTAAGAAAAACAAATCTAAGGCCCTGAATGTGTTGAATGCTAGTTATGCTAACTAAAATTACTTTTTGACCTTATCCTATCTTATGATGCCAGATGGCATATGGGGATACAACTCTTCATTTCCTAAAATCTCAGATACAGATTCGGGTAGAGGAATCCTATTGATCATGCTTATATAATTCTCCTATATCTGGTTTTTGGAGCTACATTTTTTTGATAATTATTTTTGGAGCTACATGTCATTTCTCTAGATTCATGTCTCGCCAATTTTAATTAAGTTTCTAACATGAGCCAATTTTTTATGGTGTACTTTGTTAAAAGCACCATTTCACAAATTTAAAAGTGTTTATTTTATAGAGAATTGAAGTACATGAAGAACTGTACGCGGTAAGTATCTTCTCCCACACTGGTACGGGCATGTACCGTTAAGCAGGTACCATAAATCCCATCTACTTCAGCCTCAACCATAAAAAACTACTAGATACAAGTGCCTGAACATAATATTCTTCAGAATCTTACCAAGGTTCTTATCAAGTGTCTTTGTGAACTGGTTCAATGCAGGTGGAACTTTCAACCTCTGCTTAAGAATCCGCCTCTGCCTTTGGATGCGAACAACCTTTGGCCATTTCACAAACCTATGCAAATCTTTCTTTGGAGGCAATGCCCCTCCGATACCAAACTGCTTCGGACGCTTCTCAAACAATGGGTTCACAACCTTCTCCTGAAGCCCAAATGACAAATAATACTCAATAAAATGAGTGGATAAGCCAATTAAATACAATTTTCCACCCCAAAAGTAAACAACAAATTACCGGTTTCTTTTTTGCAGGTGCCGCGGGTGCTTTCACACCTCTTTTCGGGGCCTGAAAATTAATAAGCGAAAAAAGATATCATTCACTCGTACAGGAAAAGCTCATGGTTCATTATAAATCAAGCAAAGTTGTGTATCCCCAACATTCAAGTAAAGTTGTATCCACAAATTTCTTACAAATCAAATAGAGATATCAAGGAAAATCAACAAAGCCAACCACTGGCACTACATTTGCAGACAACATTTGGACCCAAATTGGTAAAAAGGATAAATCGCCATGCTCAATAAAATAATATTACATGCTTTGTTGTAAGAAAAACGAATCTCGCGAAAGCAACCTGAAGAACACATAACAAGCCCTAAAGCAACAAATCCTAACTCCTTGATGTCGTCGCTTATGATCCAAAAGACCAGACATATCTAATTCTACCGATGTATCTGCTGAGCATTGAAGAGGTAGTGACGGACATGGAGGGAGAAAATTAGGGTTTTTGATTTACCATTTGTGCAGAGAAACTCTTCCCTTGCGCCGCTGTGTGTGTTTGATATCTGATGAGCGAGAAGCAGAAACCCTAAAACCAGACCCCGCCAAAAGTGACGAAGCGGCAGTGGAGAAACTTATATAGCGCGAAGAAAATGAAGGCATTGAGCCATTGAGATAGCCAAAGGTGTGATTTGGGTCGAACCATTTTAGGTGAGTCGATCTGAACTTTAGGTTGGTTAATCGTCTGGGTTGCAACTTGGCAGCCTCAACCCGAACCCGAGCTTTTGCACTGGATCGGCCTGGGACTAAAGTAAAAACATGGGCCTGCCCTAAGCTCAGGTTGGATTTGGGTTGCAGTCTTGGCTATTGTGAGTTTTATTCGAACCTAACCCGGCCCAACCTGAATCTATTCCAACAAACGGTATCTTATATTATTTATATAAAAAGTTAAAAACAACCTTTTCTAATTATATATAAATAGTTAAATGCATATATATGGTTTTATTATAATATACATGTATATTTCTTAATGAAACTAGTAAGGAGCACGTGATTGTAAGATTGAATTGTGTTAAATTATTAATTAATTTCACTTAATATAAGTTTTTAAAAGACTTTATTAGTTAAAAGACAAAAAATAAAAGTTAATTGAATAAAAGGCTTAATATAAATAATAACATGAATACATGATCATTCGAGGGAAAATCTATGATGTTGAAAATACATGATTAAAATGCTTACTGTAAATAATAACATGATTGTTTGAGGGAAAAATTTATGATGTCAAAAAGACATGATTTCGAAAACCCCCTACAAATTTTGATGAAAATTATGCTTGTTGATTGGCTATAAGTTCCTATGGTATCATGTTATTTTAGTATCATAGTTCAATCTAAAAAACACCCCTTTCTATGTATGCTTTAGGCTCTTAGTAACTACGATTATCACATTGACGATAGATGAATTAACTAAACATATTCATGAAGAAGTTCTATGGATGACATTATTTTAATTGATAAAACTAATGAATGATTAAATGCAAATTTAAATTTATGGACAAATGCCTTGAAAACAATATGTTTTAAAATAAGTAGGACTAAAACATAAACATAGTATATGACATGTAAATTTAATAATAATAGAAATGTAAATCAAGATACACTTAGGATTGGAGGTGAAGAGATAATTCAATGCAACCATTTTTCGTACCTTGGTTCAATAATTTATATCAAGGGAGAGATTGAGGAATATGTCGCTCAAAGAATTAAAACAATATAATCCAAATGGAGGGGTGCATCTAAACTTTTATGCGATGACAAATACCACTTAGATTAAAAATAAAAATCTATAAATTACTTGTAAGGCCAACTATATTGTATGGAGCAAAGTGTTGGACAGCCAAGAAACAACGTGTTCATAAATGCAATGAATGGAGGGGTGCATCTAAACTTTTATGGGATGGCAAATACCACTTAGATTAAAACAAAAAATCTATAAACTACTTGTAAGGCCAACTATATTATATGGAGCAAAGTGTTGGACAGCCAAAAAACAACGTGCTCATAAATGCAAATGTTAAAATGGATGAGTGAGAAAACCAGAAAGGATAGGATTGAGAATAAAGTTGTTTATAAAAAGCTAAAGTATGTCAAATAGGTGATAGAATGAAAGATAATAGACTAATACAGTTTAAGCACATACATAGAAGGCCACCAATTGTGTCAATTAGAAGCGATTTATTACATGTTAAAAGGCCTAGAAGAGTTCAAAATAGACTAAAAAGTACATGGGTAAAAATAGTCAAAAATGATTTAAACACTACTAATTTAACAATGGATATAACTTTAAATATAACAGATTGAAACAGGATTCATGTAACTAACTCCATAAAGTTTGGACAAGGCATGGGTGATGGTGAAAAAACTTCATCTTAAAATAAAAATAATAAACATAGTAATCCATACATACTATATTATGCAGTCGTCCATGTCAAACTCCTCATATTCTTCCCAATTCTTTTAGAATTTTGTAATTTTCTTGAATTTTTAAAATAAAACAATTAAATACAGATTATTTACACTCGCCCAAACCAACTCAGTTAAGAAAATAAATGAAACATGAGCACCATTTTGACAGCATCACATGGGTCTCTTCTAGTGTTTTCAATACTAAAACATTAGGATTTTATTTTCATTTCACGAGAAAAAGAAATTATAACATTTCATATATGAGGAGAGAGAGAGAGGTCACGTGGGAAAGAGATAGGATTGGGATCAGGTACACAAATCGACATGCCCAAAACCCTCTCATGTGCCACTCACCACTGTCCAAGCATCAACAAATGACAATTGACAACCAAACAGGAAAACATTTGAAAACACTTATTGCCCATAAAACTGCCAAGTGAAAAATTTCATATTATTTGCGGTTTACAAGCTCACCCAACAGTATTGCAGGTACTTTCAAATTGCATCTCCATTCATATTGACGGCTCGTTTGATCCAATAACAGATGCCGCATGATACTCATTCATCATCCAGCACCCCAAGAGAAATCAGATTACATGAATGCTATGGTTGTTCAGTAGATTGTGAAATTAATGATAATGCCTTACACCAATAATAAAACTTATAAAACGTACAATGAAAAGTTAAATGGTTGTAGACTTGTAGGTCCCATTTATTAGCGGCGTCATTGGTTTCACAGCCCGCTGATCAGTTATTGCATTCAGCTAATCTTTTTTGCTATGGGTGCAAATCCGGTTGGTTGGGCTGGGTTTATAGTCAATCCAGGCTTGATCCTAAAATTTGGGCTTAAGACCCTACTCTAAGGTCAAGCCCAATTTTCCTAACTCAAGCCCAACCTACATTGTAATTTATRCATACAGATTGGGCTTGGGCATGGGCCGGGCTCGGGTTGGTCAATGAACCCTCTCTCTCTCTCTCTCTCTATATATATATATATATATGTGTGTGTGTGTGTGTGTTTATGCATATATATATATATATATATATATATATATATATATATATATATATATATATATATATATATATATATGCAAAATAGGCAGTGAGGTGTAATTGTCTGTGTCTCTATATTTGATAGGCACTCGAAGAGTCTCACTCACTCTCTCTCTCTCTCTCTTTCTTCTCAGAGAGAGTCTCCATCTAGGGGTTGTTCTCGAGTTTTTCTATTCTGTCCATTTCAGTTGTTCATTTTCTTCCCACTATATCCCTTTCTTCTCAGTTTTCTTCTTTCATTCTCCCTTTTTCTCACTCCTCTCTCTTCTTCTTGATTAACTTGATCCAATCATCCACTCTCTTTTGTTTATTCTCCTTTTTCTTTTCCCTGATTTTGTTTTTTGTTCTTTTTTGTAGGGATTTTAGTACAAGTGGCAGAGTATTGGGCGGTGGCCTTAATCGCTACTTTGATTCATCGCTGGTGATTGTTTCCTTATTTTCCTTCACTAGCACTTACAGTTTCGGGTGGATCCAATTACGACAATCTCAGTTCGAGTGGTTAAAGTTCCAGTTGATTCCACTTCTAGCAATAACGGTTTCAGTAATCTCAGTTCCGAGTGATTAAAGTTCCTGTTGATTCCACTTTTGGTGATAACAGTTTTGGCGGTTACTTTTTCTAGGTGGTGAAACTTCTAGTTGGTTCCAATTTTGGTGATAACAATTATGGCGGTTATGATTCTAGACTTTTAAAATTCTAGTTAGTTCCAACTTGTTAAAGTTCTGACAGTTATGGTTTTGGATGGTTAAAGTTATGACGAATCGCTACTGCATTTATCCCTCTCTTTTGGTGGTTGGAAATGCATTTATTTATCTCTTCAGTTGGTGATTCTGCCTTATCTTTTGTTTGTTGCAGAAATTTCTTCATTTTCTCCTTTATCCACTGTAAATATTTTGTTTTTTTTAGAAACTTGTATTCTTGTTTGGTACTGTTACCACTTCTCTGTTTTGATACAATGTTTCTGTACTTTCTTACTTGGTACTATTACCACTACTGTTTATTCATACAAGTTTCATAGTTGAATGAAATATGATATTTTGTATATGTGTGTGTGTATGCAAAAATAACATTTATATACATATAAATATAGTTGGATTGGGCTCGGGGTGGGTTTGGACTACCTAAGGGTTAGGCCCAAACCCTTCACAAAAATAAAAAAATCCGATTTCTTGGGCCTGAACCCAGCCCTAGAACCAAAAATCCAAGCCCAGCCCGTATAAAATTTTGGGCTGGGCCGGTTTGGGCTTGAATTGAACCCGCCCAAGTTGCACCCCTACTTTCTGCATCCCAGGAATGAACACACACATGCAGATGGTAGAACCTACTGGGCCATGATGCAGAGCTACGAGCCTTACTCGGTGGTCTTGAAGCAGCCTCAGCACTTACTAAAGACAGTATAATAATGTATACTGACAGTCCCTAGTTAACCTTTTTGCTAGTAATGCTAGGCCAACATCTTGGATGGAGCAGATACACTGGAGATCCACTCGCAATCTACTTTCTACGTATCAATCCTAGTTTGGTTATAAATATATAGTCTATCAAGTTGGCCCACCTGTTTGCTTATTTCGCATGTAAGGGCAAGTTACTAACTTACTAATACATGTAATTCGACTATCCAAGCTCATGTACATATTCATAATCATCAATGATGCTGAGGTTGTTTTATTTTGAAAAAAAAACCTCAAACCCCATTATTGCCATTGGATAAAGGCTCTTTACTAATCAATGTTTGTAGGATCTTATCTTTTAGCATATCTGGTAATCTGAACTTAGCTACAGTCAATTCTAGAGATACAAAATTCACAAAACATAAGAATTGTCACCTCCGTAACCCATTCCTAGAAGACTAGAACTAGAGTGTCGAAATGAAAGGAAGCTGAAGAAACAAAAGAAAAAAAGAATTGCAAGCTCTCGCAGTTTCACACCAAACTGTTAACCTGTAATCAAAACCCTCTAAATTGCAGATGGAAGACGTGCAATTGTTCATTTAGGTCCAATTCAGGATTCCCAGATTCACACAATAAAGAGTTCATGCTTATACATGGTATGGAATCATTGAGATGTAAACTTTTCCTTGGCACCATTTGCACATTTTCTTTGTGGCTAATAAATAAATTACAAAAGCAACTGAACAGACCAATCAATTCCTAGGATATGAGAAAAGACCATAGCCATATGAACTAGTTACAACACCAGTGTACCAAACATGCTGTATATGTATAACAGGTGAGTGGAATAAATCAAGCTTACGCAGAACATGTTTATTATTTCAAAAATTTCAGACATCCAGCAGGCGTACAATTCAGATGATGTCTGCTTTGTTAGTTTAATAAAAAAGTGTCTCATCCAAGGTGAAGGATTATGCATGTACAACATTTCTCTTTAGATATACAAGTATTATATGCCATGGTATGGGCTAACACATCGTCTACTTAAAAAAAAAGAAAGGCCAACACATCGTAATTTCGTTTGGATATGTATAAATATAGACTTCAAAAGATGTTGCCACCTGCTTAACATGAGCACAGAAAGCTTGAGCAAAGGAAATGGACAACAACTTTTTTCAGAGTACTTTGCTCAAATACATAACTTACACGGACAACCCCCACAAAAATCTGGATTAGTCAACTGACTCTCTTGGATAAAAGATAATAAGAGACGGGATTTCCTGAAAGGTAGAACTGTAACACTTCGAGAGCACGGCATCCAGCAGTACATCGGGAAGGTCTCCCCATGAATTTAATATACATGTATGGGAGATATTCCCCATGTGCGGCTGGATGCCATGATCTCAGAGATTAGCGCAGTTTTTGCTTTCAGGAGATCCGGGCTTGGATAATAATAGATTTCAAGAAACAAATTCTGTGAAGATTTGCTTAGAAGAATGTTATAGGACATTCATTCTGTCTGGAATTCTAATGCCTGCCCTTTTCAGAAGTGCACCAGAAGCTTGCTTTGCCATGGAAATAATTTTTTCCTGATCATTTCGCAACAAAGTATAGCCAAGTTCAGAACCACAGTAATTTTAGTGCCATCAAAACTTAAAATAAGGAGAGGCATAAAGTTAAAAGAGACTGAACATATGCACTACATTTTAAACACTGATAATTTTATTTCAATTCATATTCAACAATGAGAAAAAGAAAAACCAGAGTTCTTGGAAATGGTTTATATTTTCAAAACTGCAAATGGATCATAAAAAGGAGAGGTATAAACTGTCATCGATGCCACACTGGTGAAAAGAAATTCCCTAACAACAAAATCATGATTTTAATTCTTTTGCCTCAACCTTACAGGTTGCATACTCAATTTCAGATCCATCACACACAAAAAGAAAAGGGAGAGGGGAGGGAGACACCAGTCATTTCATTCCCACAACATGATGACTCGATTGGCACAACCAAGATGCTAATCCACTGATTCTCCTGGAAGAAGCTGAAATGCACATGTGTTTCTACATATCCAGGATGTTATATATTATTAATGATTTAGGGCCATTTGGTAAAAGCTTAAGTGGCTGAATTGAATTGTTTACTGCTTTGTCTTTTAGAGATTAGGTCAAGGAGGTTGTGAGCTTGATGGCTGAAGCTACAGTTAGGTAGATTACTGTACTCTCTGATAATACTAACGTACTCTATAAGTTGAGCCTTACCAGGATTTTAGGAGACTTTGCTAATAGGATAGTAACGTACTCTCAAATCTCAGATGCTACTCTGATGTTACTGAAACTCTAGAACAGAAAAAAAGGGAATGGATGATATGGTTGTTGTTTTTTTTTTCCTGATTTGAAGTACTAGTGCAATTGTAATCCAGAAATTAAGTTGCATTCCATTGTTCTGATGCTGCAATAAGCTATGAATTCTCTCCAATCTCACATGGTTATTTTTAAATTAATATTATTTTTCTCAACTTCTTGAGGAATTTGTAACTACAAAAAGTGATTTAAAATGATCTTATCGAGATATTGAAGTTTATAAAGGCCTCAAGCTTAGATGTCATGCATGACATAGTGAACCTTGAATAGATAACTGATCAACCAAAGTAAGCATTCAGTTTAAGATGGCTATGTCAGAAATTATTTTGTAACCAAGGTTAAGTTTCTTCAGAGCATAGAGAAAATTCCTGGAACCATACCTATTTCTCCCAAGGGAAAATGAAGACTTCTGGATTAAAAAATTTCCAAGTTTCTCTAAATTTCCATAATATTTAAAAATTTCAAATAAACATTGAATCTCCAATTTGTAATACTCCAAATTTAAGAAAAATATCTGAGAAATTTTATGCCTTTTCTCCAAAATCAATTTGAAACAATATTGAGGTGTAGAAAATATAGCTAGCTACACTTTTGCAGGAAATAAGAAAAATTGGATTTGTTGATTCTAGGCATATATGCCATATAATCAACAACTCCATTTGGATTTTCAGAAAATAAGATTAATTTTACTTAAACAAATAATTTAAGAATAGTTGTTAAAATCTTTCTAATTTTAAGAATTAATTGATAAAACTAGAGAGGGATTAAATGCAAAATTAGGTTTATAGACAGCTACCCTAGAAACAAGAGGTTTTAAAAAAAGTAGGATGGGGAAAGGTGCAGGTATAGTTCTTTACAATAGGAGAATACCACCTAGGCTAAAAGGAAAATTTTATAAAATGGATACACGACCAGCAATATTGTATGGTGTAGAGAAAATCATCTATAGTGCCAGTAAGAAGAAGTGATCTGTTGCAAGCTGAAATGCCTATTACAGCTAGGGACAGGCTAAACATGGCATGGATTGAAGCAGTAAATAATGTTTTGAGTGCCCAATATTGAGCAATGGATATAACACTGAACAGAGTGGATGGCAGAGCAGGATTCATGTAACCAAAGAATTTTCAGGTCTCAACAAACTTCTTTAAAGTAGATGATGGCAAAGAATCATTTGGAAAAAGGATTTTGTACATAAATACTATGGTATATGGTTTTAAAAAACAGTAACCTAAGTATCTTTTGTGTGAAGGGCCCTCTCCATCTGTTAATACAACATCACTTTCCCCTTTTGTTTTAAAAAAAAAAAGAACTTTCTGAGGGAATGAAGAAAAACAGAATTCAAAATCACAAAACCAGATAACACAAAGAAGCATTCTTATAGTATCAACATTCACTTGCAGACTGATTTACCAGATCAAAATAAGCTACTATGTGATACCTCATTTACATTTAAGATCTTCTGATCCTTCATGATCCACTGGCCATTGCACATGACAGAATCAATATTTTCAGTACGCATGCAATAAACAAGGCTGGAAATGCTGCAGATAAAAATGATCAACAGAAATTTAGTATTTCCAAAGAAACTAGGTACAATAACAAAATAGGATGAATTATGTCCTATTCTCCAGATTACCATTTTAAGTTTAATGGAACCAACTTGAGTGGTCTCAGTCCTGGATACTTGTGGGTGGTAGAGGGAAACCAAGATACCCCACCAGAAAAATAGAAGAAACTCAGGAATGAAAGTCCAGAGAAGTTTTTAAAAACTGACCCAGAGGCTGAACCATTTTTTCCTCCAGGTCGCAGGTCAGCAGGTCAGCAGGTCAACCATCTGGGTCAAATGGGTCATACATACATATGTATTCATGTTCTAAGAATTCATCATCCCAAGACAGCTGAATAGGTATTGAGATATTTGAAATCTTTAACAAGAAGAGGTCTTTTGTAGGGCACTTCAAGGTGGAATCCTATACCGATGCTAAATTGGGCAGGTTCTCAAGATAATCAAAGATCTGCTTCTAGTTATTGCACATTGGTTGGTGGGAATCTTGTGACCTGGAGTAAGAAACAAAATGTTGTAGCTCAAACAAGTGCTTAAGTAGAATTTAGAACTATGCAGTGATTTAAGGCACACAGGTGAGGCACATTTCAAGGTTTGTGCCTCACCTAGGCCCAGGGCAGCCTCTTTGAAAAGGCACGCACCTGGTGTGCCTTGTGTCTCGGCTCAGGCATGCACGTTTGTTAAATTTTGTGATTTTTGAAGCTCCAAGAGCCTTCTTTCTGCTAATGTTGTTCATTTATTCTTCTTAATACAAGACATTTTTTAAAAGATAATTAAAATTATAAAACCATTTTTTGTAGGGATTAAGAATTTAAGACCCTAACATGAACTTGTTTGGGCTTGCCTCAAGAGGCTTGGTAGTTGGTACAAAGGCAACTTGTAGATTTAAGAATGAAAGATGTTCAGCATCATGTTAGCACTTTGAAATAATGCAATTGAAAATTTGATATGCTTGAATATGTTTTATATGTTATGTTTGATATATATATATTTTTTTACATTTTCGTTCTGAATATGTTTTATATATTATGTTTATGTACTTTAGTTTGAGCTAGTAGGCTTTTTAAAATATTTAATTTAAAATTAAAATTTCCATTTTTTAAATTAATTCTATTTATAATATTTTCTTAATTTATTATTGAATTCTTTACACATTTTGCTTTTATCTGCATTTTTTAGGTGCACACCTTTCGCCTTGAGCGCAAAATACCCTTTGCGCTTTTAAAACACTGGAGCTATGGCTCATGGACTTGCGGTATCTCAGAGTTATGGTTGAAATTCTTGTTAGCTGAGCTTGAAGTGACCGTTGATGGCCGTATAAGACTCTTGTTACAAGGCAGCCATCAATACTGCTTATAATCCTGGTCAACATGATTTAACCAAACATATTAAGGTTGATGGACATTTCATTAGAGAAAAAGTATTCCCAAGAGGTTTGCATGCCTTTTGTATGAGCAAATGATAAACTTGGAAACCTTTTGGTCGAATGAGTAACCAAGGCTAAGCTACAAAATATGTTTAGCAAGTTGAGTGTAGAAAGAGTTATTTTTGTCTCTTCTTACATTGTAATAAGTAATAGTTGAGTGGGTGCAGGCCCATGTCTTTTTCTATTTTCCTATTCATTTGGTTCTCTCTTCCTTCTCTTCTTTACTCCCTGCTTTGAAACTTCTTTTTCTTCTTCAACCTAACACCAATGCACACACTGGCACATCCTTTTATTACTCCGTATGGAGCATGTTGAATTCCAATTCAAGATGATACAGAAGCCAAATTGAAAATGAGCATGGTAGCCCAAAAAACAAGTAGCAACATGGCCTCCTGCCTACCACCAGATCTATGAAAAAAGAGAGTGCTTTAACCATCACCAAGCTAAGCAGCAAGAGAGGGGAGAGGGGTAAAGCAGGTAAATAATACTCATGATACCGATGGCCAATTGAAGTTTGATGAAAAAATCAGCTTCCCAATGTTTTGACATGTAAAATAATCTTAAATACAGTAAGAAGGGCGTAAAACATTATTTTGAACAGCAAGCAAATTTACTTTTTCATGCATATAGTCACTGCTTATTAAGCATGCCAGAAATGATGTAGAATCAAAAACTAATTCATACCAGAATTCTCTTATCATCTAAAGCTGCGAAAATGATCTCAAACCAAAACTGATAAGTCATGATCCTATAAGGAATAAATGTAATGGAATTTCTCAATCACATGTTATTACCAAAAAACCATTAAAAAGCACATAATCAAACCCCAAGAACAGGGAGCACCGTAGTTACAGATAGAAACATCAATTCACCCAATTAAGGAGTGGCAAACACTATTAATAAATTACAAGTTGCATATCTTTTCCCTTATCCATACATACCAGTCATGCAGAGGAATCATAGACCAAGAGAAAGGATTGATGATGGTCATGTCAGCCTGTTATAAAGCAGCAGCATCAGTATCAACTATTATACAACAGTGGGGAGTGAACTCAATGTTTTAAAAGCAAGAGGCACAAGAAAGGCACAGGGGCCTTCTAACGTCTAAGGTGAAAGGTGAGGTGTGTACTCAGCTGAAGCAAGGCACAAATTTTTGAAAAATAAATAAATAAATAAATAGCATTAATACAATATATATATAAGCATGACTGTTAGAACTAGCCGAATAAGGGTAGATTAGTCATTTTATTTAAGTTATGTGCTTATGTGGCAGTTCTAATAGAGACTTCCTGTCCCATACTTAACTGGGGGCAATTTAGTCATTGTACAATTAGTTAGAGACTAATCTACATTATGGTCGACTGACAGGGTTTAGCTATCAGATTCGACTGTTCTTCTTTCTTCTTTCTTCTTCTTCTTCTTCTTCTTCTTCTTTCTCCCTTACTCTCTACTGGTTCGAACTGCTTAAACACAGCTGTTAAAACATGGTATCAGAGCCATAAACGAAGGAGAAGAAGGATGCGACTTCAAGGTTTCCATCCTGCAACTTAAAGTTCTTTCTCCTTTTTTCTTCTTCTCTGGGCTGCGAATCTGAGGTACACAATCTGAATAGCTGCAGCATCTGTTATTATTTTTTTAGGACTGCCACAATCCCTATTACAAGTATTGGGAAGGTGAGGCAGCCCTAGGATATCGGCCTAATACTGCTGTCACCATGTGTGACAGCCCTAGTCGTGTGGTGGTGTTTGTGGTGTTTACCCTCTACTGAACAATTTCAAGAGGTTTTGTGTGTGGTTGCTTGAGTTGTTGCATTGCTGCCATGGTGACTACTATTTCTGGGTTGTTAGTAGTGGTGTGAACAGAAAAAAAAAACTGTGCTGGAAGAAGTGGCCGAATACCTCAGCCTAGTAGCTTTCATCAATGTTCTAATCTGGATGGTAGCCGAATCTGGTTAAAACATTCAGTTCTTAACCTGAGTGTTAGTCTACATCAAGTTGTTGATTGTGACTAGTTGTGAGATTGTTATCAATGTGCTGTAGTGTTGCCTTGACAGCAGTATTTGGTTGGTGACTGAGAGTTCAGCATTAGAGATAGCAGTCAGGGACATAATGGCAGCAACGGGAGATGGTTCTAGTGATCAGAAACTGGGTGTGATGATCCCCTCCGACTATCTGGGTGTGCAGATGACTTCCATTAAACTTAATGCTGAGAATTATGTGCCATGGGCCAAATCAGTGGAAGTTTTCCTCAAGGCAAAAAGAAAAGTGAAACACGTGAAGGAAGATAAACCATCGATTGACTCTCTAGGGTTTAATGACTGGGAACAACCACAGGAAGATGCCCAAATCATGACATGGTTATGGAACAACAAGGAATCCAAAATAGGTGCCAACTTTATGTTCTTAGATACAACTAAGGATATATGGGAACATGCCAAGAAGCTTTATTCTGAGTAGGATAATACTACAAGGGTATATCAGCTCTATTAGGAGTATTTCGATCTACAACAAGGGAATAAAACCCTAGAAGAGTACTATGCCAGTATGAAGAACCTCAGAAATGAACTCAATGTCTATCATCCCCTCACTCTAGATGTTAAGGTTCAGCAACAATAGAGGGAGCAATTAGATGCCACTAGGTTCTTACTAGGGTTGAAATCAGAGTATGAACCAGTTAGGGCCCAAATATTGGGAGGCTCTACTCTTCCTGCACTTGAGGAAGTTTTTGCATGGCTTCCAAGATTTCTTTGGGATCTACAGAGAATCCCACACCGTCTGAAAGATCGGCATTTGTGATAGCCAGAGGAGGCGGACATGGTACTCGAGGAGGTCGTGGTGGTTCCATATTTGGCCGTGGTGGTGGTTGTGACTCAGGGGGAGGCCGTGGTAAAGGAAAAGGTAAATCTAGTAGGAAGTGTACCCACTGTGGTAGGGACGGACATTTAGTGAATTTTTGTTATGATCTCCATGGCCCACCTTCTAGATGGGCTAATCTTGCCGTAGCTAGTGGGGTTGATGTCAGTGATAACCAACAGACAGATCTAACACCTTCCACATCTACATCTTTTTCCGGGAAGGAGATGATGAGTGTACCGCACGATGAGTATGAGAGGTTCCTCCAAGCTACTTCACAACATACTACAGCCACCCTTCTCACACTCATGTATAGCTTGTTTGGCATCCAAACCTTCTTCCTGGATTATTGACTCTAGAGCCTTTGATCACATGACCGGGACTCCAGGTGTGTTCTCTTCCATCTCTGAAACTTCCACATCTCAAACTATTACCCTTGCCAACGGTTCCTCTTCTCCCATTTGTGGTGTTGGTAATGTTGATACAACTTCTCTTTCTTTATCATTTGTTCTATATGTGCTTAAATTTCCATTCAATCTTATGTCAGTCAGTAAATTAACTAAGACCCTTAATTGCTCTATTACATTTTTCCCTTCCTTTCGTGTTTTTCAGGATCTCAAGACGGGGAAGAAGATTGGTGGGGGGCATGAAGCCAGTGGATTGTATTACCTTGACGGTGGTGGATCGTCAGTTGCACTTTAGACTTCACTCACTCCTCTACAATGGCATTGTCGGCTGGGACATCCATCTCTCAAGGCACTCAAGATACTAGTTCCGTCTTTGAGTCAGTTGTCGTCTTTATAGTGTGAGTTGTGTCAGTATGGGAAACACCGTCGGGTTCCTTTCAGTCCTAGAGTTGATAGTCATATGTTGAGTCCTTTTGATTTGGTTCATTAAGATGTTTGGGGTCCGATTAAAATAGCCTTATAATGGTTACAAGTATTTTGTCACTTTTATTGATGATTGTTCAAGGATGACATGGATTTATTTAATGAAAGAAAAGAGTGAATTATTTTCCATTTTTCAAAAATTCCATGTTGAAATACGTAGACAATTTGGTGTTCCAATCAAAGTTCTTCGTCCAGATAACGGTTGTGAATACTTTCTTACTTCCCTTCAATAGTATTTAGAACAACATGACATCATTCATCAAACTTCATGTGCATCCACTCCTCAACAAAATGGGGTGGCTGAACGAAAGAACCGTTATCTCCTTGAAACTGCTCGGTCTATTCTTCATCATATGAGTGCTCCTAAACGATTTTGGAGTGATATTGTGCTTACTGCTTGTTTCCTTATTAATCGGATGCCCTCCTTCATCCTTCATGGTCGGTCTCCCTTTTCTATTTTGTTCCCCACCTTGTCTCTCTTTCCATTAACACCCCGGGTCTTTGGCTATGTGTGTTTTGTTCACAATCTGAGTCTTAGGATAAACAAGCTGGATGCACGCTCTATTAAGTGTGCCTTTCTTGGCTACTCTCGGACCCAGAAAGGGTATAAGTATTACAATTCCATTACTCGGAAGTTCTATGTCTGTCCTGATGTCACCTTTTTTGATTTTGTCCCCTTCTTCTTAGGACCTGAAGTATCGATATCTCCACCTTTGCTTCCTCTTCCTCTTCCAGTCCGTGATCCTGTTCCAGTTGAGGCTAACCCTTCACCTCCTCCAATGTAGATTCCTACTAAACGACCACCGATTCAGCACGTGTACACTCATCGACAGACATCGGCTCCTCCTCTAGCTTCTACCTTGTCTGCGGATCCTGTTGTTGCTCCCGTCCCATAACCTTCAGGACTTGATCTTCTCATTGCTTTACAGAAAGGTAAACTTAGTTGTACCCTCCATCCCATTTCCAATTTTGTTTCAGCTTCTTGCCTTTCCGTTTCACATCGCCAATTTGTTTCACTGTTGTCATCTATTTCTATACCTAAGAATGTCCAAGAGGCTCTTACCTCACCTGGGTAGCGACATGCAATGGAGGAGGAACTCTCTACCCTTCAGCATACTCAAATGTGGGAGCTCACTACTCTTCCACTCGGTAAGCATGTTGTGGGTTATAAATGGGTGTATACTATTAAATACTTGCTGGATGGTAGTGTGGAGCGTCTGAAGGCCAGACTTGTTGCTAAAAGTTATTCACAATTGTATGGGGTGGACTATATGGAGACTTTCTCTCCAGTGGCTAAGATTGGCTCCGTCGGTGTCTTAATTTCCTTGGTAGTTATGTATGATTGGCCCTTGTTTCAACTTGATATTAAAAATGCCTTCCTTCATGGTGACCTTATGGAGGAGGTATATATGGAGCAACCACCTGGGTTTGTTGCTCAGGGGGAAGATGGTAAGGTGTGCAGACTGAAAAAGGCAATTTATGGGTTGAAACAATCGCCTCATGCTTAGTTTGGGAAGTTTAGTGAAGTGGTGAAGAATTTTGGGATGAAACAATGTCAGGTTGACCACTCAGTGTTCAACTATGATTCAAAAGCAAAAAAGATTTTATTAGTGGTCTATGTGGATGATATTGTCATAATTGGCAGTGACAAATTAGGGATTGATAAACTAAAGGTCTTTATACAAAACCATTTTCAATCAAAAGACCTCGGGAACAGGGTGTAAACCTGTGCCAAAGAAAATATGTTCTTGATCTGCTGGATGAAATAGGACTGTTAGGTGCAAAACCTGCTGAAACTCCCATGGAACCAAATGCTAAGTTGAGTAGTGATATAGGGGAAATATTTGATGATCCTAGAAGATACAAACGGTTAGTGGGGAAGTTGAACTATTTGACTATCACAAGACCAAACATCTCCTTTGTAGTGCCAATTTATGCAGAACCCTCAGATACCTCATTGGGATGCAGTTCTTAGAAATTTAAGGTACTTAAAGGGAGTTCCAGGCCGTGGGTTATTGTACAAACCAGATGGAAGACTTGAGGTAATTGGGTATACAGATGCAGATTGGGCAGGCTCAGTGTCGGATAGAAGATCTACTACAAGCTACTGCACATTTCTTGGAGGAAATCTTGCGACATGGAAGAGTAAGAAGCAAACCGCTGTGGCAAGGAGTAGTGCTGAAGCCGAATACAGAGCCATGGCACACATTACATGTGAATTAGTATGGCTGAGGAATCTCCTACAAGAAATCGGA